GCTGAAGTTAGCAGGCACTACGTAAGTGTCTGCACTTATGTTGTGCAAATTTTACTTTCCTGTCGTGTGTAGAAGCATCCGTTTTAGTCATCTTGTTTAACGCTCAGAGCTCCAGGCAGTCTCTGGGTGTCACATCTTTCCTCACTGCCCCCCTTTGGAAACAGCAAAATCAAGGCAAGAAGGAGAGAGGGGGAATTTTTGCCTTTATTTAGAGCAGTAGAGATAAACAGGAAAGGGGTGGAGAGGAACAAGGAGAGACCTGCACCAAAGGATCGTGAGCGTGAGTCGAACCATGACCACTGCGTTGAGGAACTATAGCCGCTGTTCATGGGTCGCCCGCTCAACTAGGTGAGGGGCGCCCGACTAGTGTTAGTTTTGAACATTTTGAAGGTAAACGGTAGTTTGTTATTTTCCTGCTTCCAAACAGGAGCGATGACACGAACCACTGAGGAGCTGAGGATTGTGCTGGTGGGGAAGACTGGATCTGGGAAGAGCGCCTCAGGAAACACCATTCTTGGCTGTGACGCCTTTGAATCAGTGATGAGCCCCGTATCTGTTACTGACGAGTGCTTCAAGGCCAGAGCATCGGTGGACAGACAAGACGTCGTGGTGATCGACACCCCAGGCCTGTTCGACACCAGGCATGCAGTGAGCAAAACATGTAGAAATATCAGCCAGTGCATCTCTTACGCTTCTCCAGGACCCCACGTCTTCCTGATCGTCATCGGACTGGGCAGGTACACGGAGGAAGAGATGCAGACAGTGCAGCAGATTCAGGAGCTGTTTGGCCAGGCTGCTGACAGATACAGCATGGTCCTGTTCACTCGAGGCGACCTTCTCAAAGGTACCCCTATCAAGCAGTTCATCGGGAAGTCCCCAGACCTGCAGGAGCTTGTGGCCAGATGCCACGGCCAGTACCATGTCTTCAATAATGACCTGAAGACGGGCCCTCAGGTCCCCGAGCTGCTTCAGAAGATCAGAAATCTAGTGAGGAATAACGGAGGAAGCTACTACACCAGCGAGATGTTCCAGGAAGCAGAAAGAGCAATCAATGAGGAGAAACAGCGCATCCTGGTTGAGAAGGAGGCAGAAATGCGAATCGAAAGGGAGCAACTGAGGAGCGACCTGCAAGCAGAATATGAAGAACAGCTCAGGAATCTTAATCTGTGTTATGAGGCTCAAAGGATGGAGGACATCAGAGTGAGAGAGCAGGAAAATCAGGCAATGCAGGCCAGGTTGACTGAACTGACAAGGGAGGGTGAGAGGTTTATCAATGCAAAGGTGGAGATGGAGATGGAGAGGCAAAGGGAGAAGCAAAATATGGAGCTGGTGCTGGCGAGGGACAGTCAGGACAGGGAGCAGATGCAGGTGCAGATGCAGAATATGTTTATGATGTTAAGCATGCAGAACAATCAGAACTGGATGGCAGCGATGCAGAGTCAACAGCAGCAGCACCAACAGGAGCTAGAACGGCAGAGAATGGAGCTGCAGCAGAGAGATGAGGCAGCGAGGATGCAGAGGGAGCTCGACAGAGCTCGGTTGGAAACAGAAAAGGCTGAATTAAAGGCACAGTATGAAAGAGAGCAGAGAGACAAGGAAAAAGCTTTGAAGGAAAAGCATGAAAGAGAGGCCAGAGAAAAAGCTGAAGATAGAAATCCAGTGATGGCTTTAGTGGACGGTGCAGTTGGTCTGTGCAAGAAGGGCTTCAACTTCATTAAAGGCATTTTTAAGTAGTTTAAAAGACATAGAGAAAGATTTCAGGGTTGACGCAGGGGACAATAGTTAGAGCACATGCATTTGTCTACCTGCAGTTGTTCAGAAAAATGGCCATGATGTTCACTAGTTATGCCTGAATTTTGTTTTCCTCTGTCACCGAATCTCATTAAATTTGCTCATGCAATTTCTTTATATGTAGTAAAAAATACACCACAAGCTTCAGCTAATCTTTCATCCTGTTGAGAAACACAGATTTGTGATGTCTATAAACTGTAATCTATAACACAAAATAAATGTCAAAAACAAGTTGGTGCTTTTGTGTGTAATTGTTAAGTCTCTCAATCAGCTGCAGTGACCACGAAGAGACGCAAAACTACCACAAAGACACAAAATATCCATAAAGATACACACAACGTGCACAAGACGCACAAAGGCCACAAAGAGACAGACAAGGACTCCGATGACATGAAAAAGTACCACAAATAGAGACAAAACGATCACAAAATACAGCAACACAATTAGCAACAGACGCAAAACAACCACACGGAGATAAAAATCAACCCATTTCATTTTCAGTTTACAGGTCAGAACTTTTAATTGATTATATCCAGGATTACATGAAAATGACCAGGTCGTTATAGAAAATGAGAACCAGTTCTCAATTAACTTACCTGGTAAAATAAAGGTTAAATAAAAAGAAAATTGGGCATACGTTTTTGTTCTTTTGCTTATTATTGTTTTTAATCAGTTGTTGAATTATTTAAAAAAAATATACCTTTCAAAATTCTTCTTAAATTCATGTGTCTTATGGAGACCTGATGGAGTTTTAATGTTGCATCTTTTCAGCGCCTTAAATATCTGGAAGCTCAAAGTTATTTATTGTGTGCAGCAGCTAAAAATGAACCTCAGACAGGCTTCAGAGCTGCAGCCAAACAATCTGCAGGAAAAACACACTCACTGCTAATAAATGGAAGCTGATGTCACTGGATCCAAATGTGGACTGGTTTGTAATATCTCCATGTAAGGGCACAAAGCCACTGCTCACATTGCTGGATGTGCTGGGCCTGGGAGGAAAAGTCTCAACAGGGTCTGGTGCGACGCCTCAGTAAGGGCTTATTTTGCTAGTTTAGAACCCATAGATGTAGGATTTAGGGCAAAATATTTAGAATGTGCATTTGTCTCCCCTTTTTCTTTTGAAAATTTGCGACAATGATTATTTGTTGTGCCGGCATTTTGTGTTGCAGCTGATGCAGAAAAAGAACTGCTTGGTGCATAGAAATCAGCCTGAATGAAGAAAGTGAGTAGCACCATGTCTCTTTGTGAGGATTTTTTCATGCAGTTCATTTAAATATAGTCAAACTTCAATTATAAACAACATTAAGGTCACAATGTCACCCTGCATGAAGTGTTCAGTTGAATTTTGTGGATTTATCTGTCAATTCCAGCCAGAAAAAAAAGGGGGAAAAAAAGAAAAAGTTGTTATAAATGTCAGTGTCCCTGCGGATGTTAGAACCCAGGATTAATGGTGGTGAATAAATAAAGATTTATTGCCAAAGAAAACGGTCACAGAACCAATTGGGAAAGACAACTAGGCGGGAGGAGGGAAGGAACTGGGTAATCCAAACTTAATTTTAAAAAAGGGCAAACTACAAAAACATAGAAAACACGAACACATGAATAAAGTAAGCTAACACTAACTGGAAGGGGTTACTCACAGGGACAGAGGAGCAAACTATAAACAGGCAGACTCTAAGGGATAGGGTTCTGGCGAGACGAGCCAGAGCTGACAAAGCTTGGGGAAACACCAGGGTGGGGTCGGCAGCAAGGCAGGCAGGCTGATATCCAATCTCTAACATTGCTTTACTACTGCCAGCATTTCCTCGTAGCTAGGTTGCAAACTCTTACATCCATAGCCTTCACATTTTCCCACATGCTCTGGTATTGTGGTTAAAGGCTAAGGTTTGTGTTATTCATACATATTTATGTCAGCGGTAAGGCAGGCTGGGGGCAGGATCAGGACGGTGAGTGAGGTCACCGAGGCCCACGGCAGCGTCTGGGTTGCCAATGCAGGGCGGTCAGGCAGCAGAGGCTGGCAGGGGAAAGGTCGGGGACCGGCAGAGAAACTGCAAGCAGAACAAATAGGAATTTGTTTCATGCAAAGCGACACCACAAAGGCGCAGACTGGCCTGAACTGACTGAGGGATCAGTGTCTATGATCTGGCAAGGAGTGGAGGAATGAGCCGAGTCTGCATGGGTCCGGGTGACTGTGAACAGGTGAGCCTCTCCCTGCATAGCTGTCTCCAAACCCTGCAGTTAATCACCTGCACACCTTCAACACAACCAGAGTGACAGGAGAGAGATGATGAACAAAACTGAGAGGTAGAGGGAGAGAGAGAAAGAGAGGGAGAGAGATCGAGAGGAGGGCTGAGGCGGGGGTCTTGACAGTACCCACCTCTCCATGGGTGCCTCCTGGCACACAACAAAGCAGGTCAGGGTGCTGGCGATGAAAGTCTCTTATGAGTGTTGAGTCCAGGACCAGCCAATGGGGAACCCAGCAGGGCTCCTTCTGACCGTACCACTCCCTGGATTACCGCCCCCGAATGTCCAACAGCCTCCAAACCGTGGCCACCGGTCGTCCCACATCATGGAGGAGGCGGCATCGGGAGAAGTGAAAGGTGAGATGAATCCACATAGAGGGAGGCAACCTCAACTGGACTGCACAAGTGTTGCTGATCATCTCAGTTTTGAAGGGTCCCATGAAGCGGGGGAATAGTTTCTTGAACTCCTTTCTGTGGGGAAGATCCTTGGAGCAGAGCCATAGTCTTTGGCCGGGGGCTTTCCTTTCTCCCAGTCCTCTCGCAGCACCTGATGTGGGACTGGAGGGGTTGGTTGCCAAGGGAGTACTGAAACAGAGACAGGCCAGAAGAGGCATTGGGCAGGGTGTTATGAGCTTACTCCACCCAGGGGAGTTGCGTGCTCCAGAACATTGGATTGTTGGACAAGGTACAGCAGTTTTCAGCTCCTGATTGCCCCGCTCCGTCTGGCCGTTGGACTAGGGGTGGTACCCATACGAGAGGCTGACTGTGGCCCCCAGCGGTGAACAGAGGGCTCTCCAGACCTGCAGGGTGAACTGCAGTCCTCCGTCAGACACAATGTTCACTCTGGACACAGACGGAGCAGGCTGCGATGAACTCAGGTGTCTTTATCCATCGTCAACCACCAGAACTGCTGGCGGAGGAATGACAATGCCTGGGCGAGGCCTGGGTGGCAGGTTAGGTAGCTGGAGTGGGCCCACTGCAGCACCTGGGACTGAACAGAGTCAGGAAAAAACAGGCAATTTGCTAGACTGTTCCTGGGGTCTGTGCCTGCCTGACCCTTGACTCTATCTCCCAGGTGAGAAGGCAGGATGGCCTCAGGCTCCCCAGAGAGTTCCTAGACAGAGAACTGCCAGGACAGGGCACCAGGTTTGATGTTCCCAGGGCCAGGGCGATAGGACAGGGAGAAATTAAAGTCACCAAAGGACAAGGCCCAACTGGGGCTGAAGAAGTTTTATGGTTGGTCCAAACAGTACATGGCTGCTTGGCTCCCTCCAGGCAGTGGCTCCAGGGCTAGCTTGATGCATTTCACAGTTGCTGATGTTGTAATTTCTCTGCGTGGGGGGACAGTTTCCTTGAGAAGGGGTGTAGCTTCTTGTCTTGGGGGTGTGTAGGGACAGCGCCGGGCTCACACCGGTATCTGATGCATCCGCCACAAACTGAAAGCTTGATCGGGCTGAGTGAAGATGTTAAATAAGTTATATCTGTTCTCTTCAGTTCATGGAGTAGCTAATTATTTAATGCATGGTTGCGTAAACACATGTCTTTAAGCTGATTATTGTAAAAAAGTAAGTCCAACTAGTTTCTGACATTATGTAAAAGGAATTTTATGTGTGACTCTTTGTGTCTCTTACTACACGACTGTTGCATCAGACTCAGTATTTGCTGCATTTTCAAGTCGAGCTGCCGGCTGAACACACTCCTGACAGACAGTGTTGATTTTGTTAGGTTACAGTTCAAGTGTTTCTCTGCTGAAACTGCGCGAGTGTTTCTGTGGACACACAAAAACTGGACTTCAACAATTAAACGGCATAAAGTTGATAAATCTATGCTGGCAGTTGCTGAACTGTTTCAACCATTCTCAAGCGAAAATGTCACAAAAGTGGCAGATTTAAGCATCTCTTTGGTCATATCTAATAATAATAACAGGTTTATTTATAATGCGCTTTTTAAAAGACAGGGTTACAAAGCGCTTTCACATAATCCAAAAAGATTAAAACACAATTTTGATAAAAAATATGGTGCCGCGTTAATGTGATGCAATTTAAAATTAGTTCAAACAAACATGCATGCATACAACAGAGAGTATCAGCACAGGAAACGAGAACAGAGCGAGGACAGGAAAGACACGAGGATAACAATATCTCTGCATGTGGAATCTTTCTGTTGAACAAAATGAGACGTCCGAAGACAGCTTAAGCTCAACAAATGTTTCTGACAGTATTTTTTTTTGATAATTTACGAAACAACCAATTAACTAACAGAAAAAAAACATATACTGACTTATTTAGAGTCTTAGTTTGTTTAGGATGTGACGTCTTCAGTTCGACCAACAAATAAACAATTGAGCGCGATGTGAGGTGCAGTACATGAGGCGAGTCAGTGAACAAGCAACACAACATAACGCGTCTTTATTAATGCTTGATTTTATTTTAATCACAGCCGCATGAGTGTCAGAAAAACACAACCCCCTTCAGTGAACACAGCTGTCAGAAAGGCCTGTTTCTGGATCGTGTATTGATCAGTCCCAGGACGGAGAAGGCGCTGGCTGCTGCCGTCACCAGACTGATGGCCCCGATGGCCCGTGTAGCCTGCGGAGACAACGAAAAGCACAGGACGGGACTGAGGATAACCTGAAACCAACCGCAGAGCTCACAGCAACACAACGCACATGGGTTTTTTTTTTTTATCATATATCCAACATGATTCCAAACAACATGAATGTGTTAAAGCGTCTCAAACCACCAACGGCCTTCTGCTCAAACGTCTCTGATTAGCTCGAAACGTTTAGAGCAGAAAATATAGATACTGTGAGATTTTAGCTGGATATATATTAAATACTTTCTGAGATTTCTTTTTTCATGCCTTGAAGTTGAAGTACTTTGAGGATGTTTAAGCAGCTTTATATCAGGAGGTTTTAAAGAACAAAGCCTGACATTTCCACTGTTATTTCTCTTAATGTCACCGATTCAGAGTCTGCAATGCTGACGCTTAAATACAAATATTTATTAAGATATTGTGAAATTTTAGCTAGATATAGCAAATTCTACCCCAGAAAAAAAATTGCCCGTCAACTCAGTTTCTGTACGTTTTTTCTATAACTTTGAGGCTGTTTGAACAACAATATCTCAGATAAAAGCCTGAAATTTTCAGTTATTTTTTCCATCACATCATTGATTCGGAATCTGCAATTCTGGACAAGTAGATCCAATAATCTCTGATTATGGGTGAGTTGAATATCCATCCATCCACAGGGATCTTGTAGTTTTGAGTCGATGTTGTTAACCCCTGAGCCACCGTGCAGTTAAAATATGAAAAAGTTAAAGCGGTCGTGAAAAGTCCCACCTTTGAACTCGAATTAACCAGAAAGTTGATCATTCAGAAGTCAACTCGTGATATTTTCTGAACTACATGTAACTGCACGTGACAGTAATGCAAAAGTAAACACATTGAATAGTTTTGAATGTGAAATATGTGGTCACAGAAATGAAAAAAAAATAAAATTCTCACTGAACTTTAATAACTTGTTGTACCATTAAAACTAAAATATTAGTAGATAGTCTAATCAAACAGAAATCTGGAGTTTCAAAATGGTTCTCCAAGATTAACTCAGAATTTATATACGTATTTTAAATATTGGCATATTTTTCCAGTCTCGCATCCCACTTGGTCGGCTGGAGCAACAGAGTGAACTGTTACTTATTATACTTTCCTAACTCATAAACTTATTGGGGGCGATGCTGGAAGGTAAACAGTTCCTATAAAAATACATGCTCTCACACTTTAACTGTCTTCGCATTAACTTGAAGGCCAAGTTTATTTCCAATGGAACACAAAGCAGCAGAAATAATTTTGTAAATCTGACGACTAGAGGCGGAATGACTGTCCTATGTCGGAACCCAGTCTTGTTCTGAGAATGTAAAAACTGTGTCAGTGGTGGGTGTTCCTCAGTCGTTGTGGTCTGATGAGTGAAAATGTGCGACGGTGCCCTGATGACACATGAGACAGAAGCAAAACAAACAGTGAGAGACCTGCTCGGACACCCCCTCCCCGTAGCGCAGGAGGGTAACAAAGTGCTCGCAGTTGCTCCCCAGCAGGTCGTAGGACACCTCCTGGCCGATGAGGACCTGCGCTCGCTGGATGATTTCGCAGGTGGGCAGCGGCGTGTGGTTGTGGTCGTACTTGTTGTTGACGCGGTACGAGTCGCTTCCCACCACCTCCTTCAGCAGCTGCATGCGCACCACGGCCTTCCTGCTGAACACCGACTTCACGCTGGACATGGCGGCTGCCTGGTTCTCATCTGTCGGGGAGGAGGGACATTTTTAAAAACGTGAAGTGAACCAAAAGTGAACATGCGAGGATGCTTAGAAAATGACAAAAAGCTCTTAAAAAGATCCAAAACACTCATTGGGAGCCCAGCCAGATGCACAAACTTAACTGTTTTCACCATACAAATACCAAATGCTACTCTATGCAAAATCCTTTTTGGACTTAACAGAAAACAATGAATGGAGTATATATGATGCATGCTGGTTTTTAAAACATATCTATGACAAAACATGATTCAAAACAACATGGAGTAGAAACATTAAAGCTGTTCTCTCTCAAATCACCAGATCCGTCTACTCAACCTTCTCTGATTAGGTTTTGTTTTGTTTTGTTTTAGCATAAAATATGGATATTTATAAAGATATTTGGGAAATTTTAGCTGGATATATCAAATACTTTCTGAGATAAATCATTTTGTCCGCTGACCCACTTTCAGCACATTGAAATTTGAGTCTGTTTGAACAACAAAATCTCAAGAACGGATAAAGACAAAAGCCTGTTGAGGATATGCATGTTTGTAAAATGAAGATCCTAAATACATCTTGGATGCCAGCTACATGGACAAGCTTAACTGTTTTTACCACACAAATTGCAAAATGAGCTTAAAAGAAGAGGCAAGAGTGTGTTTGTCATTTTTTACTCTTGACAAAATAATGTTTAGACTCAACAAATATAAATAACTCAACAGTAATTATGTTCAACCAACAAACTAGATTGGAATTTGCTTTCCATCTGGTTTTGTTAATTACCACTTAGCTAATGATTGGTAGCATTAAACACATTTTTTAAAAAGTGGATCTCCCATAAAAATCAAGTTGCTCCATCCAGTATTTCTGTTATTTAACAGGAATTTTTTAAATGTACTTAATTAATGTGCTTAACTTGAAATCCTGAACTTAAGGCAAAGAAAATTTTTAAATTATCAAGCCACTTTTGATTAGCTAATGTGAAAATTTAAGTTTAAGTTACACACAGTATGAAGCTGATGCAGATACCAGTAATAGTGTGTCAACCCAAGTCATCAGAAATAATGTTTAAAGGTTTATCTAAAACTGATTAAGTTGATCGCTCACAAAAATGAAGTTTTTCCATCCAGCATTTTCACGTTATTTAAGACGAATCTTAAGTGTCAAGAACTAAATAATCATGATTCTGAAGGCAAGTTTCTAGAAATTAAGTTGCTCCGATGGAAACTTAAAATCCTGAATTTCAGGTGAAGAAAATTTCCGTTATCAAGCCAAATTTATTAAGTTATATCAACTTCAATTTAGTTTTAAATTACTTCATATATATTACATACATTTTATTAAGTTCACTATCAGTATTACTGTGTTAATATAGCACATGCAAAACTGAAAGGTTTATCCTAATCCTTAAAACTGAATTTTTATCTTACTATTGTGCATTTAATTTAGTGGTGGAAGCAGGTCCTGTGACTGATACAGAAAAGAAACAAGATACATTATTGTCCATCTGCAAAAATGGACAAATGACAGCCACTATGTGCTCCAAAATGTGAAAAGGCAGCTAAAAGAGAAGTCAATGTGCTTACAAAAACTGTAAAATGAAAAATGTTGCTTAAAAATCAGATTTTCAAGATAGAAATGCAGAAAAATTAGAGAAGCCGCGGTTGTGTTAACCCAAAACTAAACCGTAACAGTGTTAAGGGTGGGAAAAGCATGAACACTTGATTTATTTTGCATTTTAAATGTCATATTTAAAGTGAAAATAAGAGCTTCATTCTTCCTGGTTGGCTCGTAAGATGTGAAAGTTGGCAAGTTTTATGTTCATTTGCAGAGCCTGTGGATTGGAGGCTTTTACTGACCAACAGGAGTCAAGTTGATGATGTAACCGTCTCCCAGGTAGAGAGCCCAGTGCTGATAGGCCGGTCTGAAGATCTCAATGAGGTCACCTGGCTGGGGGTCACCGGCGGGGTCAGGAAGGTCAGGGTCATTAGAGGCCATCTGCACAGAAAGCGAGAAAAAGGTGCATTCAGTTACACAGATCTGCTGCTTTCTTGACACGCACACATAAAATAAACGTAAAAATGCTTAGAAGGTGGTGTAAGCTATATTTTGGAAATCCTAAACATTCAATATATGAATAACTTCTAGCTAGATTTGCACATTAAATAAATTTAAATCTTGCTTTTCAGTAAAGTTTTTGTAAACCTTTAACATGCTGTATGGCTTAAATTACATAGTTTGGGAAACTACAGCTGTAAATCTGCAGGCTGATGACATTTCCACTCTTTCCAATCATAAAAACACACGCGGCTGAATCTATTTTCAGCCTGTCAGTCGACTTACAGTAGAGTTCTGTTGTCGTTTATCCATCCCACATCATGCTTCCACAAATTCTAAAAAAAAGAAAACGAGACACAGAGAGGACGTTTTCATGCCACCTGCTGCAACAGAACTGCTTTGAAGCCACTGACACATCAGCAGATGTAATTCTGGTGATGCTGAAGCTACATGGTGTCACATATTTCTCACTTGGTTTGTGATAAGACAAGATTCAAAAGGCAAAATAAGTAAATTCCCAGAGAGAGAGAGAATGCTAGATGGAGCGGTACAATGTAAAGGTCAGCCATACATACGCACACACACAATACACACCGGCTCGCACGCAGACAATACACACACGAGCTGTTGTGTCACCTGTGCTGCCACAATAGCACCAACACAATGGGGAAGCTGACAGAAAAATAGCTTCAGCTCAGGTTGTTTCACTTTAGTTTGGATCAAAATTACACTCGGATGGGATGAAATCTATATCAGCGCAGGAGGCCGACGAGTACATCGAGTCATTATTAATGTATGATGCTAAAGTCTCACTGAAAATACAAGGACATGTATTATTTACAAAACCAAAACTCCACCAGCGTTTGGGAGCTGCCACGAGCATGAAAGCATAATTAAATGGAAATGATGCGGCCATTTATAAAGTAACAATTCTCTATTGATCTATCGGAGGCTACAAATCAAACTGTGGACGCAGTCAGGAGTAATACTTACTCAAACACCAGCAGCTTTTTCTTCCTCACCATTTTAATTCTCCATCATAAGTCCGCACAAGACCATAAGAAAATCCAGGAGAAGAAAAGCAGAAATGAAATCGATCCCAAGTTCCTGAGATGACAAAAGCGGTTGCTGAATATCTCAAAGTCGAATCCAGAGGCTGGAGGTCGCGGTGGAGGCGTTTCAGCTGCTCTGACCGATGGCAGTTTGCCACGGTTGCTAAGGTCACGCACACATATACACACCGAGAGGCATTTCCTCTCATTCACAAGCAGCCGCACGGCTCTGCTGAATAACAGTTATTGTGGGTTTGCAAAGGCGACACATGCAGTTCAGTTCAGATTCAGTTCAGATCTCTGAGCCTGTGAAGCTGACATTAGCATAGCAGCGCATGTTCCCTCCTGATGCTGGAGTTGATGATGTGTTTGTGATGCTCCACAAGGATCTGTCATAATAATACCACATACTCATAAACCTTTGTTTCGTACTTACCAGTTGTTTCTTTGCTCATCACCTGAGACTAAAACAAGTACATTTTGTTGACTTTTGGTTCAAAACAGTGAAGGAGAAGAAATTCTGTGGAATATTTTAGGGGTTTTGTAATTTAAATAATGACAATTATGTCCATGTATAATTAACCAAACTACAGCTGCGATAAAATTACTTTTCATTGTTATTAGGTTTAATAATGAAAGGCGATGTATTGTAATGCATTGTACAATAACATTTCTGCTGCAAATATGTTACAGAAAATCTCCTTAATATAAAAAAAACTTAGTATGATAGAAAAATATTGTGACTGTAGCCAACAGTCAGACTTTTACATTAAAATATTATCCAAGGTTCAGCTGTAAAAAGAGATTTACTTGCAGCTAATCAACTGTGGCTGTGTTTAACAGCTCACCTGCCTGGGGTGAGGAAAGTTCACAATGGGATTTACTGTTAGAGCCTCATCAATACTGTGTCCATGCTGAGGATGATTTATAAGTGTTTACTGAAGTTATCACTGTGTTGCTGTCGGCTGATGCTGCAGGTGTTTAACACATTGTCTTGTTCCAAAAATGCTTTTTATTAACATTCTTTAAAACTTTAGGCAACATTCCTTAAATGTTAACATTTTTAGAGGATATAGAGAACATTAGACACACATCTGTAAGGATTTAACTGTGTCGATGTAATTCTACAAATGGCCTGTGGGGGGCAGCAACACGCATGTGCTGCGTCCAGTCTGCCGCTAATCTCAGCAGCAGAAGAACAAGAAGGACCCAAACAGAAGGTTAGCCAGACTGACAGCAAGAAATCCTTCAGCGAGGACAGACAGTCTGTTCTTGTCTAAACGGATCGATACCGTTTGTGTTATGAGAAGAAGAGGACGCTGCTTCTCTCAGGATCGTGGTAAGAAAAAAACAAAACAACACTACTTGCTCATGCTAGCTTAGACCGGCTTAAATGTTAGCTAGCTTCATCCGTTAGCTAACCTGGTAGCAGCACGCGTCCGCTCGTTTGACATCAGATTTCCATGTGTTTTAATTCATCAGAATTATGTCAGAAAAGCCAGACGCGGGTGTCAAAACACTGCGCGGTGTCTTCGTGTGTCCTGTGCAGCGGAGATGTCACCGCTACCTCGTGTCTCTACTTCACTGACAGTTAGATAACTTCGTTAGCAAACACCTTTTACGAGCGCCTCAGTCTCCCCGCAGGCTGACAGTCACCTTCGGAGCTGCGATCCTGAGATAAACACGTCCGTCTTGTTATCTGTGCTGTTAATGTCTACTGATGCAAATGCCCTTTTGACCGCTCCGGCTGCAGATTGAACAGCATGGCTGCAGCCCCCCCTCTCAGACGGACAGACTCGGCCCGGGGCGAGTTCTCCCCGCTGAAGCACTTTGTTGTGGCGAAGAAGAAGATCAGTGATGTGTTTGAACAACTCCTCAACTACGCCAAAGAGACTTCAGAGTTTGTAGAAGGTGAGAGGCTTTGCTCATGTGGGGGGTGTTGTCAGTTAATGCTTTTATTACTGCAAAATGTTCAAGTGAAGTTATTAACTTAAAGGTCCTGGAAGGTGGAAATCCATTTTTATTGTTTTTTGTGGATTTTAGAAATTTGGAGGTGTGTAAAACTATTAAGGTATGAGGACTTTACCTTGTGCCATTCTTCTGGGCTCCCACAGGGAGAGAGCCTTCAAGCTTTACAAGCCAGTTTGACATGAGTGTTACCTACCACCATGAACCAATAGTCATCCAGCTCTGTGTAGCCCCGCCCCCTCTCTGCTTCCAGTTGAACCATTAAAAACAAGCAGCTGCCTCACAGTCCATCAGGTTTATTTGCTATTACAGCTGCTTCTACTAAACTTGAAAATGTCTCAGCCACGAGCAAAACTCACCAAATGTTCTGCTGCCGGCTGCAAGAGTGAACACAAGAGTGTTCATGCACTCCCAGCATCTGAGAAACTGAACACCCTGAGGGTTACTTTTATTGTTTTAGTGTTAGCGCGTTTGTGGCTAACACTACTATTAGCCTTGGTGGTCTGCGCCCACACGTCTGTGAGCTTCTCTCCTGTCCTCTGTGCTCCCGTACGCTGCATTTTAACACAGCAGAATTCCAAATTAAGCTGTTCTCCTTTACACATTTTTTAGTTTCTGTTGTCAGACAGCAGAACGAGGATGTAACGGTGTGACAGCTGCAGCTCTGCAAACTACTGACCATATAACCGCAATGTCATCGGACAAACTCACCAAACACACAAGTTACAAACAAGGATTCTGTGATATAAAATCATCGCTTGGAGAGAAAGATAGAAGCGAAAAAAAGAAAAGCCTGCTCTCTTATTATAGCCAACTGTTTTGTTCCCTGCTGCCAATTACAGGATATATTTCAAGCCACAGACACTGAAACAGCCACTTACAACAAGACTAAAAGCAGGAGTTGTACAGTCATGGTGAAAAATCATCTTATTTGTGGTATTTTAAGTGGACAAACTGACACATTCTGAGGGCCTGAGATACTGAGAGGGGCACAACATGGGACCTTTAATAAGTAGGAATACCTGATGATGGAGGAATGTTTTTATTGACATTGTTTTTTTGCTTTGTTTTTTCTATTGTTGACAGAAATCAGTGGGAATAAGGCTTTGGGGAACATCGCCACTCAGGATCAGAAGTTGGAGATCCAGGCCTATGCCGACAAACTTGCCATCATCAAGGAGGTTCTTGCACGCAGGCACATGAAGGTGGCCTTTTTTGGCAGGTAAATGCATCGATACATCCCTGGATTTTAAAAGAATATTGATTTTAATGCCTTTCTGATGTGATTGTGAAACTTCCTTTTTCATAAGAGCAGTTATGACATACACGCTTGTTGTGGTGTGCAGAGTGCAGTAGCCCCGCCCCGTTATACTCATGAAGGCAGCTGTGTTTTCACTTTCATTTTCTTTTAAGGCAGAGGAGTCATTTACTATTGTTAGTGGGTAGTTAAACCATGTTGCACTTGACAGCATGCAGAGGAAAAGCCTGAACTCCAGAACACATTAGCAGGGCGTGTGAGAAAATCTGAAATGTCCTTATTAGAATACATCCATACATTTTACTGCTATGTTACCAAGGCTATCAACACTCTTGTGTTTCTTTAACTGTTAAAGTAGTAACACCCAAGTCCTGTTTATTTGTTCTGTGTAGTCGAAAGGAATTTAAGCATACCAGAAGATTGTTTGGCTCCATGACTGGTGTGTGTCCGTTTGGTCTGTCTGCAGGACCAGTAATGGTAAGAGCACAGTGATCAACGCCATGCTGAGGGATCGTGTGCTGCCCAGCGGTATCGGCCACACCACCAACTGCTTCCTGAGCGTGGAGGGCACCGACGACGACAAGGCCTACCTGAAGACGGAGGGCTCTGAAGAGGAGCAGAGCATCAAGGTAGAAGAAAATGAAATGAGCTTTTGGATCACGCTGTTTGTTTTGGTATGAATAGGGATGGACCGATTATCGGTGTGGTCGATTATAGTGGCTGATATTTGGCATTTTTCCAATTATCTGTATCGGTATTTTTATTAAATAGTAATAATAATGCATTTTATTTGTATAGCACACTTTAAAATCAGGCGACATCTCAAGGCGCTTCACAGGAAGATCTGAAAATTTCAAATAATTAGCATATATATAAAATACTCCAACAGAGCCCTGTTTAAAGCAGAGTAGAATAAATGAGTCTTTAGACTGCTTTTGAGAGCAACAAGGGCATCAGAGGCCCTAATGGAGCCTGGGAGCTGATTCCACAGACGTGGTCCCAGTATGGAAAAGGCACGGTCCCCCATGGTTGTAAACTTTGTGCGAGGAATAACTCAGGAGTTCTGGGTGCTAGACCTGGGCGACCGAAATGAAGACTGTGGGGTGAGGAGGTCCTGACGGTAGATCAGGTCACAGTGGTTAATGGCCTTGTACACATGTTGGAGAAAGTAATCCAATTTACCACTCATTGATAAATGTGCTGCATCAGGTCTGATGCAGCCTCCTCTCACTGTCTGTCGTCACTCTGTGGTCTCAGAAACGTCTCTCAAGCAGAGACTGAAAAAACTGAAACACAAACCAGGAAATAGGCTCCTCTCGTGGTGGCTAACGGCTCTCGGTTAAGTTAGCAGGCAGCCACAGATTAACCTGAAACAGAGTCTGGAAAACAATAGTTAATAATTCTGTAACATATGGACGGAACAGCCAAAGATTAAAAAAATAGAGACGAACAGCAGACAGAAATGCAGGAGCCTAGTTATGAATGACATTACAGTTTATATATATTAGTTCCAAATATCGCTTACCAATCTTTACCAATGATCAGCATCGGCCCTAAAAACTCCTATCAGTTGATCCCTGGGTACGAACATAGCTCTTTGGAACATAAATATATTTACACAGGTATACACACATTGAAGAGCAGCTTGTTTAACAGACGATCTTACACTCCTTCTTCAGAGTAACTAGAATCCTGCCCTGATCACTAATTAGACCATCTGTTGCTCTGATTTGTCGTCACCCAATTACACATTACATACATTCCTAATGGACATCTAAAGGGTGAGCGATGGCCTTAAAGGTTTCCACTGTTGTTGTTTCAGTGTTGTCGTACATCGAATGGTCGAGGGGAAGAAGCTGATTAGGTTGAATCGTCATGTTGACAGTGAGCCAAGCTTATATCTGCACTGATTCTTCTGCATTAATGTTTAATAAACACTGTTTTCCAAAGTAGGTTTTATTTACAAAATGCCTGTTTCAGGTTTGTGACATAGTTCTGTGAGGACTAGTGGAAAAGTTACAGAAAGTAATATAAAAAAGAAAGCAGTAGAAATAGATGGCACACCTGCTGAGTCTGAACTGATGTCTCTGTTTGCTGTTAGCTCGAATCAGCTTCCCTTCAAGTTCAGGACACAGAATGTCAACAAACCCAAAATGTGAGAGGAAAGGCTATCCGAGCCTGCAGCCGTGTATGAACTGTGGCAGCGATGCAGGATGTTTACTGCAGTGTCAGGTGTCTGAAATGAAAGCCTGATGTAGGAGACGTCTCTGAATGACACGAGTTCAACAGAACGAATGTGCAGCTTAATCAGTTTTGCCTTAGAGTGTCACAGATGATGTTGGTTTCCTAATTCTTGATGGCATTTTCCTCTTGAATTATTTATTGAAAGCGGAACAATTAATTGGAGAATCCTTTGTGCTTCTTGAGAATATGAAATAAACAGAAAAACTAAGTGTAATGTTTTGAAGAAAGCTTTTACTTGTAGCTAGTCCTGGCCACAACCAAACCGTGGCTGAGATGGAAAATGTTTTGAATGGTGGGAGAAATGATCATGCACTTTTTTTGCCTGCATGTTTCTTTCATTGCAAATCAACATTGCAAGAAAGAAGTTATTGCAAGACTGTCTGTAACGTGAGTGTGTGTTTCCAACCCCTCTGCAGACTGTAAACCAGCTGGCTCACGCGCTGCACATGGATGAAAGTCTGGACGCCGGCTGTCTCGTGCGTGTTTTCTGGCCGAAGACCAAGTGTGCTCTGCTTCGAGACGACCTGGTGCTGGTAGACAGGTAACGGGATCTGTTAATCACAAGCTTCATCATTGTCTGTTGCCCTAAAAACAGTCCAGCAGTGTGAATAAACATTAAATCCACATCATTTCCTCCCCTCCTCAGCCCTGGAACAGATGTTACGTCACAGCTGGACAGCTGGATCGACAAGTTTTGCCTGGACGCTGACGTCTTTGTGCTGGTGGCGAACTCTGAGTCCACGCTCATGAACACGGTAAAGAAGCTCCTGATTGGTCCGTATCCGGTGGAATATCGGCCATTGTTGTCATTCCGCATCAGGGATTAACTTCACCTGCGCTGTCATGTGCAGCTGCTGAATAACCTGAGCTGGAAACAGGCTTGATGGCTTTTAATATCACAATTGACTGTTGAACAAACATAATAACACCACCCAGAGGAATCTCCACTGTCCTCTGAGCTGTGCAACTTGCTATTGTCTTGCTATTCTTGCTTGAACTGATCTAATTGTGGCTTATCAGACCTGTTTAGTTGTCTAACCGGCATCTGTACCGGGCATGTGTGCTGTGGTAAAAGCATTGAGTTTGGTTCACTGCATGGTAGCAGCTATTTTTTCTTACACATAACTTGTTTATTTTAAAGAAATATGTCCATCTTTAACATTTTATGATGTGTATATATTTAAAAGACAGAATGATTTCAGGTTTACTGCATGTTTTATGTTTATTGCACACATGTTTAGGTGTTACATTGGCCGTTTATAGCCTGTTACCTCTGAATGTTGGGTTTTAAAAGTCCAGTCATGCAGTAATTCAACCCCTTTAAATGTCCTAGCTCACAGGAGCAGGCAGACTAAGTTTTCGATTGTGTCAGTCAGTTGTTTGTGCCTGTATTTGTGTGGACGTTCCCTGTGCTGAGCTGATTAGAGGCGGGCTGCCTGTGTCGGGCCACAGACAGACCCCGCTCTTGTTTCTGTCCGCTCAGGCATTCATGCAATGTGAAGCCGAACGCACTCAATCACAGAGCTGCTTAACCCGCTGCAGCTCTTAAAGGGAAAGCAAACTCACATTTCCCTCAAATGGAAATACACGCAAATCGTCTGAGTGAGTAAAGTTCTAAACAGCTCTGGCGTGCGTCAGTGTGGAGTTCAATTCTGATTAAATGAGCAAACCGTGAACATCTTTCTGAACCATCTTTGCTGTCTTGGTGTTTTTAAAGCAGACAAAAACAGGAGAGAAAAATAGAAAGTGACTTTTTAAGTTAGGCTTTTTAACTTCTCTGAGTCATGCACCAGTCGGATTTTGCAAATCTGCACCTGCACAGCTCGGTACTGAAACCCAACTATCACCTGCAATTATCTCCGAGTCAGATAAGGACCCGAGGTGACCGTTTAATAATAGTCCCACGACCGAACCCGTGATTATGGCATCGCCCACTCGTCGCTCAGTTCGTTATTTTTACTCGGGCAGCTGACCAACGCTCTAATGATAGTCTGAAGCTTAAAACGGCAACAATCGACTCGTGAATTGCTTTAATTAACCATCTTATGACAAGGACCCGTCAGGCCACAAGGGAATCATACAAAGAAGGATAATTAAACATTTAGTTTACTAAGTCACTGAAACTGACGGAGTTTCTCCAAGGTTCTTTGACTTATTTGGAATTTAAAGTCAGTTTATGAGACTTTACAGGCTCATTAGGGCTCATTACAGCCTCGTTTCGATGACCAGTGATGTGCTATTATTATATATCGTTGGCATTTATAAGAAAAAAGAAAATAGCATGATGACACTTGATAATATTCGCAGCTGCTCAGTCACTTTTAATTTATGAGAATATATATATATACATTTTTGTACAACTTCTGTGCGACTTGTTGGTGCATTTTGTTTTGAAGCGGCTCAGACACGCCGTCATCACCACTGACTCTTCCTCTTTTCACGTCCTTCCGTTCAGGAAAAGCACTTTTTCCACAAAGTGAACGAACGTCTGTCGAAGCCGAACATCTTCATCCTCAACAACCGCTGGGACGCCTCGGCGAACGAGCCAGAATACATGGAGGATGTGAGTTAAACATGTCGCTTTTGATCTCATTTCAGAACATTTAAATGTTGTGGAACACGTGTAACAGAACATTGAAAGAAACGTAAAAACAACATCATCTTGGACGGCTGAAACAAAACTGGATTTTTATGTAATTTATTTGAACTGAAAATTTGTATTTTGTAAGGCTGTTTTCAGCCTTGCAACTATGTTATAGATGTTTTGTGTTTCTTATTCTGAATTTACAAAAAAAGGACGCTCCCTGAGAATGCAACGCTTCTTTTTCCAGGTGAGGAAGCAGCACACGGACCGCTGTGTGAACTTCCTGGTCGAGGAGCTGAAAGTTGTGGATCGTGAGCAGGCACCCAACCGCATTTTCTTCGTTTCTGCGAAAGAGGTGCTCAACTCCCGGATGCAGCGTGCGCAGGGCATGCCTGAAACAGGTGAGGAAACCCAACACAGATGCTGTATCTGAGTGTTGGAGGAGCAGGATGGAGAAACTGGATGTAACCTGCTGGTACAGAGACCACGGATGCAGGCGCGTTCTCCCACAAGTTTAATAGATTCTGTGTTTTTCTTAAATTAATAGGAAGCTTTCAAGAGTTTGCATGTTACAGAGGATTGGAATGAATGTTTAGTGAACAGTGTAGACAAGGATTTAAATGAAGAGTTTTGTTTCTAACGAGTGGCCTTTGTTTCATGTGATTCTTTCGTCCAACAGGTGGCGCTCTCGCTGAAGGCTTCAAGGAGAGACTGAAGGAGTTCCAGAGCTTTGAGAGGAGGTTTGAGGTGTGTTTGTTTGTGTGTTTTGAAGAAAATTAACCAGTTTTCGAGTAAATTTAAATGAATACTGATAAACTGACGAGCAGACAGGCACCTCAGCAGCCTCGGGTTTAGTCTGTTGAAGCCCAGAACTTGAAGGCTACATGTAGATCTCAGCTGTGTGGATAAATAAACGCTGCTGCTGCTGAGAATAAGTTGGAGAAGGAAACTCGATATGAGGAGAAACGAGGTCCATTCATTCAGAGCGGCCGATGCAAACAGAGGCTGCTTTATCAGGCCGTGAACCGGAGCTTACTTTATCGTCCCGGTTGCACAATCTCCTTTGGTGTTTGAGGAATTCAGACTAAAAGTGTTTGTGTGTGTTTGTCAGAGTGTGTGACGGGAGATTGTTGTCGAGCGGCAGCCAGAGCCCTTCTCCTAACAGTAACAGCCGACCCGAGCAGTCGCCCGCTTGACTCACTGTTTAAGAGTTTAATTTTTCTAAGCCGCCATCCACAGACCCTTGTAGACCAATCACTGTGCCTTTTCATCAACCTGCGTCTTCATTGCTGAAATCTAGATTCACTTGGGTGAGGGCATCCGTGTGTTTTTTTCCATTTCACCTTGATTTTTTGTCTCTTTGATCGCTCAGTTTTCTATTTCTGTGTTTTGTTGCATGTTTTGAAGGAGGTGAAATGTGTCCATCCTGAGAGGAAGTTATCGACAGACTTGAAGTTTTAATTCTTAATTTGGTGACGCGCTGTGATCAACTACGACACAAAACCTACTAAACACTCTGCATCTTTTCAGCCAAACAAACTCTTGTCGTTTTAGTGAAGAAGCTGGACAACAATCGTTTGTTTTCCATCATAATCTTCTTCGTGCGAGAAGTTGATCGCCTCATCGTTTAATATTTACCGTGCAGTGCTTCTTAAATTGCAGTTACTCTGGTGCAAAAATGAAAAACTGATTTTAAAAAAAAAACTGAAAATGGCCGTTTTCTAGGTCAGTAGGTGTATTTTTGATGGCACTGACGTTGTTTTCTTGTAGGTTCCTTATAGTTAAAGTCAAGCTTTAGATGTAAAGCAGCTTCCTGTTTGTATTAACAGCCCTGACTCAGAAGAATGAGAGTAAAAAAGGGAAGCTGAACCACTTTATAGAGCAGTTATTGTAGAAAGTATAGACAAGGAAAAGCCAACATAAAGAGTCTTGTGGGCCTCCAGAGCAGCTTCAGCGCGCTTTGGCATTGATTCTCCAGGTCTCTATTGGAGGGATGGAACACTGTACATCCAATCATTTTTGCTGTTTTCAACACTATAATGCCCTCTAGATGTTCATTTTGGTTGTATTGTAAATGATTCACATCACCATTCAGCGACCCCTCCTGCCGTATGGATGGGGTTAGACGGTAGAAATGTTTCAGCGCAGGATAAAGGTGACAAGTGGATCCAAAACATGCCAGAAAAATGTCTTAAAAGAAACACCGGAGGGATCAGCGGTTCAGGTTTATCCTTTAATTTGCCACCATCTTCACATTAAATGGAGAAAATGCTGGTCACAGTGGTAAAGACAGGGTTTGATTCCATGAAAATTTGAAGGTTTCTCATTTTAAAATGTTAGATTCCTGAGATGTGATCTGTCTGTGGCCTCTAATGGATCAAGAAATGTGAAAGAGAACCGATCATTTGGATCATAAGTAGCTGAGAAAGTGAGACAACAACATGAAAGAAACATCCTAAAACGACACATCAGTCCAACTTCTGCAATATGTTTGTTTTTTAAATGTCTCTCTGTTGCATTCTTGTTTGTTTTCACCTCATATGATTTCATTATGTCGCCGTGGCTTCACCTACACATTACTGTGACCAAACGTGGGCTGTGGGACTCGAGATAGACGCCCTGCTGCCGTCCTTTCCACGCCTGTGTTTCCATTTCTTTGTTCCTGTCTTAAGTCAAAAGCAGCAGGCGTCTATCTCGTCCTCTGTTCGTCCCTGGAAGCGCGCGAGTTCGTTCTCGCCGTCCAGCAGCAGCCGCTGCAGCTGTCACAGTAACTTGTGTGTTATGGCCTCGCAGGAGTGTATCTCGCAGTCAGCAGTGAAAACAAAGTTTGAGCAGCACACAATCAGGGCAAAGCAGATCACAGAAAAAGTCAAGAGCATCATGGACGCCATCAACATTGAGGCGGCGGAGAAGAGGTGAGTCTCTGGCTCTGCACGTTTCTTTCTCTGCTGCTATTTCTTTTTTTTAGTCAGGAATGTGTTAAAGATCTGATTTTACTGATGCTGTCTTCCTGTGTCAAAGCCATTAAGCGCTTATAGAAGTAAAATAAATATGTTGCTGCACCGTAAGTTGAGAATAATGTGATAAATGAACTGGTCGTCAGTGGATTTCTTTCTCTCTACTGCGTGCGGCTTAAATCTTCTTGATTGTGACGGTATTTCTTGTTGGTGGCCTTCAGAGTGGCAGCGCTGGAGGACAGAGAGTACCAGATGGACCGGCTGGAGTTCGTCAAGAACCAGCTCAACTTGCTGATCGGTGACATTAAACAGAAGATCACAGCTATCAGCGAGGAGGTGGAGGACAAGGTAACGGATGTAATGATGTCTCCAGACAGACTCCACGAGACCTTCCTGAAGCTCTGAGTGGATTCAGCTGCTCACTTTTCTTGTTTAGTGGTTTAGGTGTTATGTCAGAAGGTCAAATGGAGATACAGTCGTGACTCCATAGTCCGACCCTTAACAGTCCTAAAACCTTGCTATCTGACAGGTCTTTAGGAAAAACGAACGGAACACATGAAAAACAGCCTTAACACACCGACAGCCTTGGATTCCGACTCCGACACGACGTATTATCTGACTGAACAATCCCACAGATTGGCTACGTTCACACTGCAGGACTTGATGCTCAATTCAGATTTTTTTTTTGCGAGTTCATTCACATTTCCAGTTAAATGCGACTTGTATGTGATCTGCTGTGTGAACTTCATACGACCCAAAAGTGTCCCGCATGCGCAGAAGAGGACACGACGACGTCACACTCAGTGAAGGAAACACGGAAACTAGCATCAGCAGCCAAATACTGCCTGTGCGTTCCGGTCACTTCCATCCCGTTGGAGCGCTCCCCCGGGATGGAAGTGTCCCCTGACTGCTCAGAATATTCAGATATTCATCATTAATTGGGCCTGAACATCCAGAGACCAGAAAGTGCTATGTGGACCAGCCCGACTAGTTATTATAACAACTATGAACAATAATTAACAACAAATGAGCCTTCCAGCATCAAGCCCTCCTCGTATCTCGACCTCCGTCTTGACAATCCGACAGCCTTGCTATCCGACATAAAAGAAGGTTTTACGTTTAGCGTCGGATTATCGAGTCACGACTGTATTTACATTTAAATCTGAAGAGGATTATCACCAGCAAATCTTCACACTAGAGACGATGGAACCAGCATTTTATGTGAACTCGTCTGTTATCGGGGTCGTTAATTAAATCAACTAATTGTTTCGGCTCTACTGTAAGTCAGTGATTCAGCTTCTGCATGAATACCTCTGATACTGTCTACAGTTTTTAACCAAACTCAATATAAGTCTAACAGAAGATGAAAGAACGTTTAACGCGACAGTTGGAGCCCCGACCTGATGAAGCGCGTCGTGTTTTCTTCAGGTGTCCAACGCCATGGGGGAGGAGATCTGCCGGCTCCACGTCATAGTCGATGAGTTTCACACTGACTTCCACCCGTCGCCTCACGTCCTCAAGATCTACAAATCTGTAAGTAAAGTCAAAAACTCCACCCGTTCCAGCAGATTATCCTGCATACGGCCTACGTCAGGTTGTAAAGTTTAAAACAACAACCGTCATTTTAGTGTAACGTCAGCACATTCAAAGCTGTGCGTTGGAAATGTTCTGTACATTTAAAAACACTGCAATGCCAGTTTTTATACATGTACTAGAATCTGTGCAATAATGTTATTTCCACATCCAGAGGAATTTTTGTTTATTTTTATTTTTATTTTATTTTTTGCTGCTGTAACACTGCTGTTTTCCCCACTGTGGGATTAATAAAGGGTTATCATATCATAAAAAGAATAGCATATTTGAATAGTAATACAGTATTTGCACTTAGGAGCTCCTTTTTTTGGTATTTGACAGGTTGCTATTTTCAGTTAAGATGTTCGAGTGTCCAGTAATTCAAGCTCTGCTCCAAGAAATGGATAAAAGATGCAACATATTTGTGCAAAACAAAATGAGCAATCACAGAATTCTTAGAAGAAATGTAGTGAAGGAGGCGTGAAGTCTGCGTAAATGTTTACTACTTTCTGTCTGATCGGCGTTTCCTGTTTGTGTGTTTGCAGGAGCTGCTGACTCATGTGGAAGAAGGGATGGGCAAGAACTTGGCCTTCCGCTGCTCCAGCGCCATCAACGCCTCCGTCCAGTCGTCGCAGCAGTACATGATCGGTAACTGACGGCAAACATGTGAACTGATTAATGAGCTCAGCTTCGTATAATTCGTTTGGTTCTTTCATGTTCTTTTTTTTCTGGGCTTGCCGAAAACAAGTCGTGCTGTTACTTTGCATGGCTTCATTAAATATACTGAAGTTATTTTCACGCTTGGTTCATTTATATGGAGTTGATCATTTAGGATATTTTACATCTTGACCAAAATCAGAGGTCATTGGAACAAACAGATTAAAAGCTAAACTGAATGACTTTTTTTTTTTTTTTTAAGATTTCCAGCCTTTTGTTTTCCGTCATTGCTTCTTCTCTCATTGTTAATTAAACCCAGTCAGAACCTGGATCTGGTCTCCGACACCCAGATCGCTGCTATATTTATCCTCCTCACCGAACGCCGTCGTCCAGCGTCCCGTCATGATAGAAATGCGTCACCGTGTCGGCAAGCTGTGCTCAGCAGCTGAAAAGGTGTTAATGTGTCCTCTGATGGAAACGCTTCAGGTGCTGTTGGGAAATAGCCGTTTCAGTTATTTATTTATTTTTAAGGATAAAGCCGGTATATTTAAATCCAAGGCTCCTCGTTTGGATTACGTTCAGATTTTCTTCCCTACAGTAAATGGATTTATTTCACATTGTTGCTCGTGGGATCGATCGATATGGTTTTTTTGTTGTTTTTTTTTTTTAGGCCCGGACCAATAATTTATGATCAAGAAATAGCTTGACACTTGGAATGGACGTACATTAAATGTGATGTTTTAACAGCATGTGATAGCAGAGAACCTGTCATTCATAACTAGACTTCTTCATTAATAAGGGCGACTAAAGCTGAAAATATAAAATAGAAACAGGAGGGATTAAATGATCTGTTTCTGTTTGATCGACTGAGATTGATCAGTTTGTCTCCTGCAGCTCTGTCTTCTCTATTTTATTAATATTTCTCGGTTCTGTCACTTTTATATCCCACTATGGTTCATATCTTAAAGCTTCATTGATTCCAGTTTTCCAGACTCTGTTTCAGGTTAATCTGTGGCTTCCTGCTAATTTATCTGCTAGCCATTAGCTTAGCCTTAAGAGGAGCTCATTTCCTGGTCTCTTGTTCAGTTTCTGCAGCTTTTCTGAGACCACAGAGAGAGGAGGCAGCATCACACCTGAAGCAGCAGTTTATCAAAAAAATAGCCAAATATCGTCCATGATGATGAGCCAGGCCGATAACCGGTCTGTCCCTGGAATGCTCCGTCCGGTGTTAAACCTCGTTCCTGTGCATGAGCGCATGTTTACAACACAAGCTGAGTTAGAAACGCTGGCCGGCCTGCCGCTGATGCTGTGACTGTCTCTCCTCAGAGAGCATGCTCCCGCTGCTGCCCTCCACGGTCCAGAGCCAGGTCCACATGCTGGTGCCCAGCAGGAAGTTTGACCTGAGCTACGACCTGAACTGCGCCACGCTCTGCAGCGACTTCCAGGAGAACATCGAGTTTCAGTTTTCTCTGGGCTGGACGTCGTTGGTCCACCGTTTCCTCGGTTCTGCCAACGCTCAGAGAGCTCTCAGACTGGTGGACCAGAACTTCCAGGTACGTCATGAATAAACTGTGACCGCTGGCTGCTTATTTAGCAGCAACAGCTGAAACTATCTGAACCCCCAGAAGCCAGACTTCATTTATTTGCTCATCGAATTCTTCCTGCACCTTTTAGTGAAACCTTTTGTTCTGTATGACACACTTATGATTACAGTAATCAATTATTAATTTTACAAAAATGGAAAAAGATTTTGAAAAAAGACCTGAAATCAACATGCACAACCTTTTTCCAAGTTTCCACGTGTGTTACCGACACTAGAGAGGAATAATGACTGTAGATATTCAGCTACTTACATTTTACAACCATTACAAACAGTTTTTTACTCTCCTCTGGACGTCAACTCTCCAAGATGTTCCCTCGCGTTGAATCCGTCCTCCAACAACCTGCTCCTCTGTTCACTGTTTTTGAATCATGGATTTATCTCATAAAGTCTGTTTTACTTCCCTCTCAGTCCTCCTCGTCGTCTCCTCTCTGCTCAAACAGCAGCTCACCTGAGACTCTGAATCTTTGTCACTTGATTGTTGATCGCAGCTGATTCACTACAAGTTGTGCTGAGGAGCTCCGAATTTTTAGCTTTTTACAGAATCTAGTTCATGCAAACGATTTATTCTTTAAAACATTTTTAAATGAGACGTGGAATAAAGCGACTTTGATGAAATGTCACGGTTTCAAGCTGAGGTTTGGTTTCCTGATGAAACTGCACGTTTTTCTTCACTCTTTTGATAATTCACTGCTTACTTTTTAGATGTGTTTACATGCTCGTCTCCTCTCTGCCCTGTGAAAACACCACCTGCAGTTCACCTGAAAACTGAGTCGCTGATGTTGCGCTCAGAGTTTTTATCTTTTTACAGAATCTGTTTAGTGCAAATTGTGAATTAAACCAAACAAAATCTGATGAAAAATCCTTTTTTTCGTCTGATGGCATTGCACAGTTTGTACATAATATATATTTCTCACATATTTCATCACTTTATTCTACAGGTCTTGTTTAAAAATTCACCAAAAGTTGATGAACAGAGTTTGTGAGAAACAAAAAATGCTGCAATAGAAAAACCACGACGGACTCGGCCTGAAGGAAATCCAGAGTTTTCGGCTGAACTGCAGGCTGCGTGTCCACAAAGCAGAGAGGAGGACAAGCGTGGCAGCAAATTAAAAAATCACAATTTTGAGCTTAATTTGATTAATTTTTCCAACACACCGCAAATCTCACATGGTTAGTTCAAGGACTGTCAGAAAGTTGAAACACAAGCTATTTTTCGTTGTTGTTTTTACAGTTTCTGGCTGATATACAACCTAATTCAGAGGGTTCATTCATGTTTCTGTTCTTCAGGTTTCTCGACCGGCGCTGCCTCCGGCACAGACGCCCTCCTCGGGACCGTCCTCCATCACAGCGCCGCCGCCCAACAGCGAGACAGCCGTCATGACGCAGGAGGACCTGATGCTGGCCGTGGCCACCAACGTGGCGTCTCTGACTTCACGCACTTCGATGAGCGTCGTCATCGTGGGAGGAGTGGTACGGCCTTTTAAAAAGCGCTGAGTGTGCGATCTCTGTATCTTCAAAGTAGATATTTGTCGCTTTGTAGCTCAGAAGGATTTCCTGAGTTTGACTTTAAGAAACAAAGAATAATAAAAATGTCGTCTATGAAGAAGGGAAACGTGGTGTATTCACACTGTTAACCTTCCACTTACATTAACGGCAGACCGATCGGTGGAAACTTTATTAATCCTCTGCAGGAACTTCTTTTGTTACAGCAGCTGGAATCAGTCAAGAACCCAAA